AATTGCCTCTCACCAACCTTCCTGTCAGGGCAGGAGGAAAGGGATGAAGCAGGTAGGTGGAGCCGGTAGAGAGTTAGTGGGCTTTCTCTCCAGAGAGTTGTTAGGCCTAGAGAGCCCTGGCTTTCACTATCACTCCCGACCTAATTAAACAGACTGTAGGCAGGAGGTTATTTACAAGGCTGTTATAAGCAGAAGTTACAATGTCTGCTTGCCTCCCACCTCCTCTACCCACTTAATTATAGGAAAGAGGCCTGTCCTAGTTATCTAGTGCTGCTGTAACAGAAATACCGCAAGTGGATGGTTTTAATAAACAGAAATTTATCATCTCACAGTTTAAAACCAAAAAAAAACCCATTGCTGTTGAGTCAATTCCACTCATAGCAACCCTATAGGACATAGGAGAACTGCCCCATAGGGTTTCCAAGGAACAGCTGGTGGACTTGAACTGCCAACTCTTTTAGGTAGCAGCCATAGCTCTTAACCACCGTGCCACCAGGGCTCACAGGTTAGGAAGCTAGAATTCAGAATTCAGAGTGCTGCTCTAGGGCAGGGCTTTGAACTGGTTCATTCTGGTTTGAACCTCTGCCGAGAATTTGCATTTCTTCCCCAGATATACTGAATCAGATTCTACAGTTTAACAAGATCCCCAGGTGATTCTTATGTATAATAAATTTTGAGAACCACTGTTCTACCAGTGGTTCTCAGAATTGGTCCCTAACCAGCAGCACTAGTATTGCCTGGGAAATTGTTAGAAATGCAAGTAATCAGCAGGGGTTCGAACCAGAACAAACCAGTTCCAAGCCCTGCTCTAGGGGAAGGCTTTCTCTGTCAGCTCTGGAGGAAGGTTCTTGTCTCTTCAGTTTCTGCTTCCTGGTTCCCTGGAGATCTCCATGGGTCTTGCCATCTATTTTACCCCATCTCCGCTTCTCTCACATGCTTTTTTAATCCCTTATATGCCAAAGGAGATGGACTCGAGATACACCCTACACTACACCTGTCGCATTAACATAACAAAGACAACCCATTCCCAAAGGAGATTGTAACCACAGGCAGAGAGGTTAGGATTTACAACACATGTTTTGGGGGGACAGAGTTCAATCTGTAACGTGGCCTATCAAGAGCCCAGAGAGCTTTCTGGCGTGGAGACCTATTCCCAGTAAACTAAGACAGAGCAGGGAGAAAAACATGGCATCAAGAGTCTGAGCCCTGCCTGCCCATGTTTCGGGGTTCCAGGCTCCAGTCAAGGCTACCACTGCCTTCGCAGTCCCTGGAAGCACAGGCCTCTCTGGGACTTTCCCTCATCCACCCTCACTCCTTCACTGCTGGGTTCTACTGGAACTCTTGTACCTCTCTCCTTGGGTTTCTGTCTGGGTTTTTTAATAGTTTATTTTTGTTGCTGTTGTTGAGAATATACACAGCAGAATATACACCAATTCAACAGTTTCTGCATGTATAATTCAGCAACATAGATTACATTCTACAAGTCATGCAACCATTCTCACCCTTCTTTCCCAAATTGTTCCTCCCCCATTAACATAAACTTACTGCCCCTTAAGTTTCCTATCTACTCTTTGGAGTTGTTGCTGTCGATTGATCCCATATAGATAGTTCTTTAAAAGAGCACAATGCTCAAAGCAGTGTGTTTTCTTATGCATCTATCATGGATTGAATTGTGTCCCCAAAAAATATCTGTAAACTTGGCTGGGTCATGATTCCCAGTATTGTATGATTGTGTAATCCGATGTGATTTCCTTATGTGTTGTAAACTCTATCACTATGATGAGGTTATACTGATGAGGTTTACAAGATTAGATAGTGTCTTAATCCAGTCTCTTTTGAGGCATAAAAGAGAGAAGCAAGCAGAGACACATGGGAACCTCATACCACCAAGAAAGCAGTGCCGGGAGCAGAGCACGTCCTCTGGACCTGAGGTTCCTGTGCTGAGATGCTCCCAGACCAAGGAAAGACTGATGACAAGGACCTTCCTCCAGAGCTGACAGAGAGAGAGAGAGAGCCTTTTCCTGGAGCTGATGTCCTGAATTTGGACTTGCAGCCTACTGGACTGTGAAGAGAGTAAATTTCTCTTTGTTAAAACCATCCACTTGTGGTACTTCTGTTAGAGCAGCACTAGATGACTAAGACCGCACCAAACCTAGCTTTCACCTCAGATCAAGAGGTACTTGAGGGCCATCTCCTCTGCATCTCTCACCGACATCCAGAACCCCACACGCAGAAGGCATCCACAGCATACGGAGGTGAAAACAATGTTGTTCCAATTATGGGTCACAAACCAATGGTGGGTCGTGAAATCAATTTAAAGGGTCATGGCCAGCACCTTTAAAAAATAAATAAACACAATAAGTGCAATAGAAAATATTAGAGTATATGCACATAGCAAATGTAATTATTGTCCCGTGAACCCTGTTTCAGGTATCTCAAAATAGAAAATGTGCTTCTTACTGTGGGCCACCGTCAAAAATAATTAAAGAACCCCTGGACAAAATAGAACAGGTAAAGTCAGAGTCACGATGTGTACAGCAAATATGTAAAGGCCACCTGCTCTGTGTCAGGTACTATGCTAGGCCCTACAGACCCAATAATGAATAAGAATAAGACAGCCCCTAGTGTCAGTCCGCCTTCTGTCTAACAGTTGCAAGACAGGGTGCTAAGTGCTCTGAGACAGTATGTAACTAAACCTGATTGGGGACCCCATGTATGTCAGAGTAGAACTGTGCACCATAGGGTTTTCAATGGCTGATTTTTCAGAAGTTGATTGCCAGGCCTTTCTTCCAAAGAGCCTCTCAGTGGACTTGAACCTATAACCTTTCAATTAGCAGTCGAGCACATTAACTGTTTGCACTACCCAGGGACTCTGAGACAGCATGTAGGAGGCTATGAAGCTCCAATGTGAGATGGGCATCTGGGAGGGCTTCCCAGAGGAGGTGATTCAGTCAGAGTTCTTAGCAAGATCAGATAGTGACTAGATTCTAGTATCTCCTCCATCCTTTAGATAGTGTCAAGAGTTCTAGCCTTAAAGTCTAAAGACACAACTTCTAGTCTTGCCTCCTCACTGTGAGAACTCTGGCAAGTCAGTGAACTTCTTTGGCCCCTGTTTTCTCATCTACAAAATGGGTGTAATATCTGCTCCATCAACATCAAAGAAGTGAGAGAACAAATGGTACAGATAATGTATGTTAAAGTACACTGCAACTGTAAAATGCTATACAAGGGGGAGGGGTTGTCTCTATGGATAAGGACATAGAAGCTTAGAGGAGTGAAGTGTCCTGCCCAACACTACAGAGACAGGTCCTGAACTAGGACCCAAGTTCTCAGTTCTTCCACTCCACCTGAACTACTTTGCAAGAGAGTAGGGGCCCCCTAGCAAACTGCATATTGAGGATTTACCTTAAGACTCCTATAGTTTTAATGATCTTTTGATAATGAGGGGAGGTAAATATGTCAGAACTTCCCGATTTCCCCTTCCGTTAATGAATTAGGATCTACCCAAGCTCAGTTTTTAAAGTTACATAAGCATCATTCAAAGCGTCTGTAACAGCCACTTTCATTTTGGAAAAACAGCATTTCCATTAAAATGGTGTTATATAAAAAGGTTTTGTGGATGCGTGTGTAGGAACAGCAGGAACGGGCATGCAGAGCACTATTTAGGCACATCCATATCACAACCTCCTCTGTCCTCATGAAGGAGAAGCTGTGGGGAGCAGGTGTTTGATAGTTGTGACCTACTTGTCCCGGACCATCAGTGAAACCTGGTGCATGTTGGGCCAGGTAGAGAGAAGTCTTGACCTTTCTGGAAGACCCTTCCCTGACAAGGAAGTGAGTTCCACTGAATCACAGAACATTAGGGTTGGAAGTGACTCAGAAGTCACCTAATGCAATCTTCCTCTACACCACTCTTGCCAGTCTTGAGCTGAACAGCGCCCTGCCTTCCAAGACAGCCCGTGCCACCTGTGGACAGACGTAGAGCACTGGCAATAGACCTGACAGTGAGCTAAAACCTGCGTTCCTGGAGCTATCACCTCCTGGGAACAAATGTACACCCCTGTCTACAATCTTCAGCAGGAGGCCCGTGAGAGATTAGAGTTCAGAAGCGTTAGCCAGGAGAGGGTGCCCCGGGCCTAAAGACCAAGGAGGGAGGGCAGCATGTGTACGGAGAGCTGAAGCTCTTCCGTTGGAGACCTCTGTCCATCTAAGCTAAG